ACAGTTAAAAAGGAAACGAGACAACCAAGCGAGAACCCTGAATTTTGCTCGATGTTTATTAATCCCAAAACAAGGTTTATTGTAGACTATGCAGGGGTCCTCTCGGTAGTAAGAACAATTTTATCTAGCACAACAGAGTTTATTTAAAATATTTGTGTTTTCATGAATTGATATTTATTAGTATATTGCATAGCAATTAGAAGTTTCAAAAGATCTACAACAGTCTATACAGATTAAGTTAGGCAATAAAAGCTAAAATGCTAGCTATAGATAGATACATGCAAACCAGACATAAACAGATATACATAAAACAGTGAGCAGAAGCATCACTAAGCATTTTATTCTATTATGTTGCTCTGTTTCTCAAAGATTTAGATAATGAAATCTGGGTGATGTTAAAATAAGAACAAATTTTACCTCAATTTTCAGATTGATGTCTAGAGTGTAATAATCTGGACTATTTTCTTGCACTAGAGTTCTGAGAATTTCATATCATTTCTGCAAGAAGCTCAGTTTCTGATGGAACTAAGGTACCGATGCTGCTAAGATATTCTAAAACGTCTTTTACGAAGCTATTTGACCTTTACTTGAAGACTCCACCTGATGAACAATTTACCACACTGCTGAGCAAATTATTTACAGAAAACTCTACTTCACTTCTGCTGTTATTTATTTATTACCTGCCAAATGAGCCTTGTTGTACTTGTGAGATTAAGTTGCTCTTCACAGTCAGATATAGTCTCCAAAGCAGGTATTTGTAATTCATGAGCAAGGTACCTTTTAAACTTTCAACATGAGAGAACAGATTAAGCTTCTATAATCCCTCACTGTATGCCAACGTTTCCACATTTGTCAATACTGCTATTCTTTTCTTGATCCTTATAGCTTTCACAAGTTTCTACAGTCACTTAACCCAAACGCTATATTCAGATGTAACTAATCATATTGCCTGTGACTGAATACAGCATAGAATACAAAAGAAAATATTAAAATCCCCTTTAGAGGCTTACCTACCAGGTCAGCACTAGGCAAACAGCAAGGGAAATTATGCTCAAGCTTGTCCGCGAGTCCACCCCAAAGGAACACTGATTATTGTTGGTCCTAGGACTTGCCAGCTTCTCACAATTACTGTGCTTCTCAACCTTTTGTGAATCTTCACTGATCTTGGATGAAGACATACCTTTTTTCCTCTGTTTAACTTCAGACATTTTGTGTTTTTAAAAAGCAGAAGCAAAAGAGAGAGCTAGGGAAAAAAACCAACCAAACAAACCAAAAGAGACTAGTTACTTCTAAACATCCCCAAATATAACCTTTTGCCCTTTAGTTACACAAATACACGCCCAAAAATGTTTCCTTCAGTGTTTATTATGTTTTCTAGTTATGTGAACTTTTGTAAAGTGTCCTAATACTTTCATAAGATTTTGTGAAAAATTGTTTTCTATACTATAGAGCACTGCTTTCCTATTTTCTCAAACTGAACTGACTTTTCAAACTGTAGCTAATTTCACTTTTCCAGAAATATTTCCTCTGTTGTACAATAAGCCATTTTGAAGATATATTTAAAATCACAAGGACTGAAAGAATATTTCTTTTTATAGCTGAGTATTGTCACAATTTCATCAGCAATTTCACTATCCTGTTTTACTGTTAGATTTTTTTTAAATTATTACCTACTCCACATTAAAGGGGAAAATAAATTTTCTCATTTTAAAAAAATGGGATTGCAAATCAAGATTTAATTTAGCAATAGTTCTGTTGTAATGATTTCAGGTCATCTGTAAAACCACAGACATCAGTTAATAGGAAGCCATTAATAGCAAAATACAGAAGATTAATGAAATAATGCATCTAGATAAAAGAAAAGCTGTAACTTGCTCTTTGCTAAAATTAAGCTCAGAACAGATTCAGGCAAAATGAATCTCCAGTTTCAAAGAGTACAAAAGCTCATATTCTAACCAAGTGGAAGTGCAGAGTGGAATTTTTAAGCCTAAAATCTTCCACCATACTGCTCAAAGTAGACTAGATCCTTGGTGGATTCAGTTTAGCACAATGAGTCAAAAATGTTGTGCTTCTCACGTGCCAAAATATAAATATTTAAATATTAGAGATACTTACATAGTCACATACATGCGTAAAAGGCATTGTTTAAAATCTAAATCTGTCACAAGAACATGAAGCTTAGAGCTGTTTGTGAGTCACTAGGAAGCATGCCCTGATGAAGTATGTAGGAAAAAACCACCTCTTGCTCTCCAAAAAACCAGCAAAAATGCTATTTTGTAACTTTTAAAATGCCTTCGGGATTGAGACCACATATTATGAAGTTAAAATAAAAAAAATAAAAAAAAAAAGATATCTGAGTGGTAGTTAGGGAAATAGTTTACTACAGGAACAACTCAGCTCTAAGAAGGACAACTTCAGAGCGCAGGCCGGCGCGGCACAGCGCAGCGGACCGAGCCGCAGCTCCCCGCAGACCCTCCCGCACCCTTCCTCGCCCCTCTCCCCCCGGGACGGCCCTGCCTGC